ACAAGCCTGATACTGCACCATACAGCGTTGAGATAGGTGCTTTTGGGTTGTTTAGCGACGAATCAAAAGTCTTTGTTATTCTGGATTGAATGTTGTTTGTTGTGGTACTAAATTTCCTACAAGAAAAGAAGTCTCAACAAAATCAATCTTATTGATTAGTGGGTAAGGTTTTTTATTTTGATTCATCACTTTGATTCAGGTAAATTAAAAAATATATATATTAACTAATGTACTGATGAATCACAGTGATAATAAAAATTTTTATTTCATATTAACAACACAAAATGTCTTATCATGTACGATCATGTTGAATGTCGCATAACTACAATCCAATTGAGCTATTAGAATCTGTCTATTAAAGAAACTTACTTGCAGATGGAAGCCATAAGCCTTGATGCAAAGTCCCGTAATGCCCAATGGTTGTCTGTGTCAGGTCGTTGACAAAGTTGTTTACTAACAATACAGGTCAGGACAGCTGGTACAAGCTCATGCAACTGAAAAAAAAAAACCAACATCTTGGCATGTTATAATAAAAATACGTAACATACGTAACTTACGTAACATTGTTGTTAACGTAATAAATATGTTAACAACAATAAATTCACAATGATGAATCAATGACCCATGGATAGCGTTCTAAATCCTACTCCTTCCAGAATCTGTTTAAGTGGGTGCCAGAGCCAAACAACCTGTACTAAACCTAGTGTTGGGATTATCAACGTCAGGTGGATGTAAATGTCAGTTACATAAATGAGAAACGGCACCATTCAAGCACTATATAAGCTGGAAGGGTCATACAAGTAGAATACGTTATAATATCAATTTTAAAATTGTCAAAATCATTACTTTAACCTCCAAAAAAGATAAATATTTAATGATGCGGTACAAGTTAAATATACATTTTTTAATGTAATGTCTTCACGTTGTATAAGTTGCAGTGGCGATCTAGGAATTAGAAATAGATGGGGCCCAGGGAGGTATTTTGATAGACGGAGGGCCTAGACCACGCTGTCCACCATGGTTGGGGGCCAAGGTACGAAATTTTATGATTCTCTAGATGGCTGGAAATGGCACTTTAAGACTTGTATTTGAATATAACATTCTTTTTTTATTTTAAATTTTTTATACAATTTTGCAAGTTTTCAGGGGGAAGCGCAGGCTGGCTGGGTCCCTCCTTGAATCCACGTATGGGCTGTATTTTTATATTTTTATGAGGTACATACATATTTTTCAAGGTACAGACTGGTGTTGTCCATCACTGCTTTCACCATTCTCATCAAGTAGATCAACAGAGCAAGATTGTTCTGTACTACGTTAACTTTGACCCCTTCACTTATGAAGGCACTGAAGCGTGGAAGCATCTGATAAAGTCCTGGATCTGTGGCTAAACTCTGTAAGGCTTCCTGCAGAAAAAAACAAAACATATCATGTAAGATTAATATACTAACAGAGAAAAAGGAAGAGAATAACCTATTAAATAAATGCTGATGTTAATGCAAGGACTTTTAACTGTTACCAGGATAGGAAGCTGGCTGGTTTAAAAATAAGAGAAGCTAGGCCTAGCTGTTGTATGCCTAGCCAATAGGCAGTGTGGCTAAGGAAAGTTTTGTTAATCTGAGCATTTGCAGATTGTGCTTATCTGGCTCATTAGCATAACAATAACACACACAAGGCTAATTCAAGTTTGACAGCTCAAACCAGCCAGCTTCCACAGTTAAAAGTCCTTGGTTAATGTAAATGCCAATGTTATTTTGGTTCATTCATAAATGAAAGTTTAACACCTATAACCTATTAGTCCCATCGTTAATGTGCTGAATTATATATGGGGTGATCTGTGACTACTACAGTAGCTGTAAAAATGAATTTAGTAGCTTCATGTACATCATTCCACAAAGGCAAGGGCTGAAATGAACTACAACATTGGGATACCTCCCTAGTCTTCCGAAAACACAATGCCTGAGATGTACACTTGGCCTCTTGTAAGTCCACCTCCTAGAAGACGAAGCCTGTTCGAGAAAGTTTTGAACCAAAACGAATATTAAGGTAGTTCGCCTTACCCCTCAGATACTGAACCTGCCCACCATGGTTTTTGTCTTGAAATTTAATGATAAAATATTGTAATACAACAGTAACTGTGCAATCATTTTTACTGTATCAGTTTTAGTA